CTCCCACAACACTGACATTATAGTATATGACCTAGTAATCTCATAAAAGAGTACAACTTGGTCAAAAAACTCAGTAAGTTGTAATTGAACCCAACTCTCATTCTCAATTTTAGACCAAGACTTTAAAATATTACCTCATTCATGTGTCTTGTAGTTTTCACCCTCAATCACAACCCCAAATCTGTATTACCCATTTATCTTCTGTCTTTCTACTATAATCATCTTCATGATGCAAGGACCAATTGAATATTTCTTAGTGAAGTCTGGATTATTTCCAACTTTATGTAATTTATGTTCTTACTGCAGAGTTTACTACACAACTTAGTACAATTGCATGTTAAATTAATACATAGCATTTTCTCATTGTTATTCTCTAAGATTTCCATAAGGTTAAGTATGGAACACACAAAAATGCAAATATTTTTATTTATGCTGAAATAAAATATTTTAATTTKTAACTTAAGGAGTATGAACACATATTTACATGTATATTTGAAAAATATGAGCAGGCATGTTTATGTTCACATATATATGTTCTGACATAAGTATATATATATATACTTATGTCAGAACATAAAACAACTTTAATTCTAATAATGTATTTTAATCTTGATAAAAATGCCATTGAAAGATAGAAAACAATGATTCTAAATYATAAATGTATTAAAAGGCAAATGAAATACTTGAACTGTTCTTATATGAAAGGACACTGGCATGTTAAATATTAAAGTAAATTGTGCAACTACAATAATTAAAGCAGTATAACCTCAAATATCACACTGAAAGAATATAAAATACAAGTAAAAACTGTTAATATACACAAAGTCTGATTATGAAGTGATGAAGGACCTTCAAAACTATGTATAAAAATAAAATATAAGTACTTATTTCTTAGGTGGGAAAGATTTTTAATATAGAATATATTGAAAATACTAATAGAACTTATCATACAAATACAAATATAAAAAGAAAGACCATGAACTTTTCTAACACTGCCAATTAGAACAGGGTTTCCCGAATATAACTTAGCAATTTGATAATACACACTTAAAACCCCTTAAAATTTGATTTAAAAAATCCAAGACTATTTCATAAATAAATAATTAAACAAGGGTGAAATGACTTTCTAGGTGGTAATTATCTCTTAATTGTTTATAATTTTAAGAGCTTGGAACATAATATACAATACAGTGCTCACTAAAATTGTAAAATAGTCATGTAAGAGAAATTGATAAAGACCAAATAATGTTGATGTATTTATGTATTATGTATGTGTGACACACTTACATATAAGTGAATGCATGTACATCTTGACCTATATTTGTTGATACCATTTTAAAAAACAATTTACTAAAGATTCAAGTTGATTCATGCATAAATCAGATGTTAAATTTATTTTTTCTAATTTTAACATAAATAATTTATATGTCTTCTATGGTCAAGAAAAAATGTAAGAATCTATATACATTATTTTTAAATTATTCTGGAAGTTGTTATAACCAAAGACCAAATAAATGTGTTTCATATCTTAATGCATTTTATTTGATTCATGAAATAGGAGAAATGAGTTCATTAGCAAAGTGTTAGGGAATAATTATTGCTATTTTAATATCACAAAACAGTACAAACTATTTTCCAAACATTAAAATTCAGAGAATGATTGGAGCAGAAGTAGCAGTGTTTTCTTTATTTTTATCATTTAATGAATGGCTTCCTGGAAGCTATATCCTCCCTAAGATATTTTTAACAGTTAATTGTAAGGAGTAATTAACCCAGAAATCTTGCAGTTTGCTTCTAAATACAGATTCAATAACAACAAGTAGGTTCTAAAAATGTTCAAAAATTTTTCCTTCCATTTTTTTAATGTAGGAAATGTCACTAAACTTTTGAATTTTTAAAAAAGTTTCTTTATCAAAACCCAATATTTGTTACATGGCCATACTTGATTTTAGCTCTCAACTTTACATTGTGATATAAATGGAAGAAGAATGCAGAGAATCTCTGTAAACATTGTTTATAAGAAATTACATGCATCATACACATGATTTAATTATTTTATTGTACCCTTGGTACTTACTATAAAAGTGGGTRTGTATATGTAAGGGGGGCATATTTACATATATATGAACATTCCAATSAACTACAGAAATTCTAGGGTCTGAAAATATTACTAAAATTTACTATATGCTCTCCTATGCAGCTTGAGTCAATACATTTCAAAGAATTAAAAGTAAGCAGAAAATATTCTCTGAGCAAACTTGATTTAAGCTATTCTTAGAATATTTTTAAAAGCAGAAATTCATATGTATTTTTAAGTTTAGTGACACCATTCTGAATGATTCTTGAATGAACAAAACAAAATCAAAAAGAAAATTTTGAAATATTTTGAGCAGATGACAATGAAAAATAGAATATGTTGAATATATCTCAATTTATGCTTAACAGGAAATTTTCAGTCATGAGAGCATATTAGATTTTAAAACTTAGAAAGAGAAGAATAAATTAAGCTCAGAAGAAATCAAAAGTGGGAAATCATGAAGAAAAAAGAGCAAACGTAATCTCAAAGAATTTCAGGCCCAGTTGTCTGTGTACCGAATACTACCATACACAAAGGATAAATATATCATGAACGTAAAAGGACTTTCTTAAAGAAAATAAGGACAGCATAAACTTGATACCAAAATGTTATAAGAACAGTAGAAGAAATTTGAAAGTCAAGATCTTTTAACATATACAAAAACATTCCTGAAAATGTAGAAAGTCAATCCAGCCTTATACGAAAATGTCATACATCTTAAGCAAGTTAGACCTGTTCTAGGAATACATCCAAACATTCTAACACCAGTCAACTTAATTCACACCAATTAAGAAGGAAGAAAGGAGAAAAAGATGTTCAATCATCTCAATCAAAAAGCTAAACAACATAAGAGGATTTAATGTATACAATATGTAAAACATCAACATAACATCAATATTTCTGGTCCTGTGATATTGGCACTAAGTACAAATATAGACACATAAAAGAGAAGGAAAGCCCAGGAACACACACACATATATACACATACACACATCTCTGCAGCCTAAACAGTGTTGAGAGGGCAAAAATGAAGCAGAAGAACTTACTCTACCAAGTATTAAATACTTTATTTTAGAGTAAGTGTCAAGACAATGATATATTAGTGCATGATAGAAAAACTAACCAATGGAACAGAATAGCCTAAAAACAGAGCAGATATAAATGGATTTGATTTATGATAGAAATCAGATGGCAGAATACTGGGAATGGATTTTTTTCTTTTTTTCACTCATATTACTGGATCCATAAAAAACAATTTAATATATACCTCAGATTATATAAAAATCAATTTCAGATGTGTTGTAGATTTAAGTGTCAAAACCAAAATAACCTTTCAAATATAGAGTAGATCAGAAACAAGAACAACAATAAAAGAACAATAATTAAGTAAATGATTGATGAGTTGGTATAAATTAAAATTGGTACCAGTGAAGGACACCATTATGAAAAAAATGTAATATACCAGATGAATAAAATAACTCATTTGCATTTTTTTAACCCTACAGAGAATATGTCCCAAATATAGAGCAGAGTCAATCTTTTTTATTAAAACTTCAACAGAAATTCATATATATGTACACTAAATAATATATTCAAGCATATTTATAGCAGCAAAATTTATATAATAACCCCCAAATTGGAACAATTCAAATCTATATCAACACTACAATAAGTAATTTATGAAGTATCCAGTGATGTACCTTGAAAATGAATAAACTCTTGTTGACTTCAATAACAAAAATGAGCATCAAAAATATAATGTTGAATGAAAATGGAGGTCTGTGTTTCTGAATTGGAATAAATAATAATTTTTTTTTTGTCTTTTGACCAAGATAATGGTTACTTGGACATGTTCATAATATAATATTTCATAAAGTTTTTCCATTTAACCTCTTTAATATTTATATTATAATTCAATAAAAAGTTCACATAAATATATGAAAGACAGAACATCATATACTCATGGTATAGGATAACACTGGTAGGTGAATGCTGTGTCTTATAGAACATGTGTGGAAAGCATTATAATAAGTGTACCTACTTTGGAAACAGGTACATTGATTAAATGATGGATCTACCAAGGTTTTCTGTAAGACTTAGGTAGGATGCACTTTTGGTCCTTTGGGCCTTAGCATCTTTGCTGTAGTTGTTCAACTCTTGACATGAGAGCTCCCATAGATTGTAGATGAAGAAACATGTGGCTGTGTTCCAATTAAACTTTATTTACTAAGAGCGGCAGGGAAGATTTGTCCCACTGGTCATTGTTTTCTAATTTCTGCATTAAATAATTAAACTATGAATAGAGTAAATGATATTTCATATCTATATGTTAGAGTATTATAGTATTTTTCTCATCCTTTAAAAAAWKGG